CAGGGTCTATGCATCTACAGGAAGTAATATTAATATCAATCCATGCGTGAGTGGACCTACTTTGTTGAGAAAGGTACCAATCTATTTTACAAGAGAGGCAGTTATACACACTGGTTAGTACACCAGTCTAAATGTTTTAAAATTCAAAAATCCCAGCGGAGACTCCCAATCTATACTGAGGTACATGCTCAGCTCAACAGAATTTGGATAAAACCTCCGAAAAGTACCAATAAGTAAATCATTCTTGGGGAGGAAGTGGCTTAGTGGGGGAGGAGGGGCATGGCAAGGCTATCCTAAGAGGCATCGGAAATTACAGATTGAATTAGTTACTGCAAGTAAATTATATAATATTACAAAGTGGAAGTACAACACCTATTGGGAATTTGCTACTGAGCATCGGCTTAGAAAATAAACTGGGACAACAGGCAAAGAAAAACTTCACTGGCCATGGTATGGTAGGGTTAAACCTGTGATCTCTAGATTACATCACCGTTGCCCTACTGACAGCGAAGAGAACAAATGGCAGAAAGTCAGAGGTTACACAACTAACAAAGAGAGCTACACTTTAACCGGTGTATGTGACAACTGTGAAAATGTGATAAAGAATGCAATATTTAGTGGTACCAAAGCACCATTTTCAATACATAAAAATGAATGTGACAACGAGTGTGCCCACATTCACAGTCTCCAAACAAGATGCCTGTGGCAATTGTTTGTGAAAATAATTATGCTATCTTGAATAAAACTTCTCTCAATCATCCAAGGTTCACCAATTTTATAAAAGTCAATGTTTAAAATTCATTTCTCTTTGCAGAGACATGCAATCTTGAGCTAAACTTCATCTATAAGAAAACATTTTAATGTCACTGGCAGTGGAAGCTCCTCTATGTCATTCCAATGGCAGGCAAACTGTTTTCTCAAGTGAACTTTACAAATCCGTGTTAGTGGCTGAGGCATTTCTAGAATAAGACAATAAAATATATTATTAACATACCGGTATTAATCAGCAGACACGTCAGCCCTGAGGAGCTTTGAAGGTAATAATAATAAGATAAAGGCTTGCAGAAAGCATTTCGATATGAAAATACCCAAAATAAAAACAACATACTTTCAACATCTTCCAGATGTCATTATCAGAAGTTTCAAATGCAAATGTCGGGGTTTGTGTTCAAACATTTAAGCACAAACTCTGACCTTTCCATTTTTTAACTTGACAACATTTGACATCTTTTAGATGTTGAAACTTTAATCTTTGGATGATGCTGTGGATCAGCCAAAGCTTAGACTTTGATTTAACAGTAGTTTCAGGCCTCATTTTATTTTGAACTTTTGCAATGTCAAAACATTGCCGCTATTACTTGAAATCACATATTTTCATGAAAATAAATTGAAAGAGAACAACTTTTTCACATAACCACTGGTTGCTATTCAAAGCTACATGTAACTGCATGCTGCAGGCCCACCTTTATTTTTGTAGACCCCAAAAAGGTACAGCAAACAACATACCAGAACTGGTATTGTAAGTATTAATTGAAAATAATATAGTGATAGCTTTCCAGTATGCGATGGAGCCCTCAGGGCAAGGGGAAGACGGGTCACCCAAGAAACTCCTGGAGAAGGGGTGAAGAGTCTGAAATAAGGAAGTGGGGCCACACCTGGAACACAAGAGAAAGGCTTGCCCAGGACCGAAGCCGATGGAGAACTGAAGTGATCAATGGCCTATGCTCCAGCCAGAGCTAAGAGACAAATCATCGTCATCCAGTATTGTTTGTAACGAGGTTTGCATATTAACACAGCACACTGTAAACTGGATTCTAAGGATTCTAACAATGGACTCTGGCGGGAAGGTAAGTGAAAGTGATCAAAACAAAACAAAACAGCTGCTTACCCAGTGTGTACAAAATGTTCTGTCTGATAGACTGGGGCCTGACGAAGATCTAGGGGGGTTCAGGGAATTCAGTCGACCCCCCTAAATTAAATAAATGAGGCATGCATTACAACACACTAGCTTGCCCTCGGAATGCCGGAAATCCCATTTCTGAGCAGGGCTGTCAATAAGGGCCGTAACCCGTAACACTTGTCATGGCTGACTATGTTTGATGGACCCTTGATGTTACAGGTGAACTTGCCTGTAGTTGATACCATTCACCCATAAAGTAACAAGTTTGTTACAAGTGTGAAGATCAAGGCTACAGGTGAACTAAAACTTAATGACAACCCTGCTGAGGACCTCAATTTTAAAAATTTTCCACGAGAGTTCGGCTCCCAGACCACACCTTCCCCTATCCCAGAGTACCACCTTCCTTGCAACCTGCAACCATAAGGTCTCCTGATCTAACCCCAGGGCACAATAGTGTGTGAGAAAAACATTTTCCCCTTATTTCGTTCCACTCAGCCAATCCATGGCAAATTAGCCTTAGTTGTATTGACAAACCTGTTGGTCCTCAATCGCTAATTAAATCTAACTAGAATAAAAAGGCGCTATTTTTTGAGTAAAAAGAACTATTAAAACTAAACATGTGAAATGAAACTAAAGTCGAACTCCTATTAAATGGCAACCTCAGGGAAATGGACTGTGGCCACTTAAAAGGGGTTGGCTGCTTAATAGAGGTAGAAACAATAGAAAAGCCATCATTGGGACTTTGATTGCTGGCCGCCTGATAGGGGTGGCTGTTCAGTAGGTGGCTGCTTAATAGGTGTTCAACTGTATCATTATTATTGTACTCGTTGCCGCCATACTCTTCTTACCAAGAGCAATCTCCAGCAACTCTAAGCAGTAACTCTGGCCACTTCGTCTCGCTATGTCAAGCGGCATGTCATCGTCATGTCCAAGGAGTGTTGGTGATGCCCCATACTGGAGCAGAATAGTCGTTAACTGGACTGCAATGTCATAGGCATGATCAGCTCTAAGGGTCATATGAAGAGGTGTATCCCGTAATAGATCTGTGCCATTGACTTTACTGCCAACATCCAGAAGCATAACCACAGCCTTCACATTTCCTGAAGCAAGTGTTACAACAAACTCCATCAGTACAGTCGAACTTCGATTATCCGTACCTCAATTATCCGGATTTCTCAATTATCCAGACTTTTTCTCTAGTCCCAATTTTGTCATGAATATTTATTAGTCATGATCAAGATCCATACCAATATTCTTTTTGAAACTAATAGCATTGAAAAGTGCAGTCAAAAGTGAGTTTGTTTTGCTTTTAAAGAGCAAAAGCAGCGCTCGCACGCATCATAACTAATGAGGAACACTCGAATGAGTTCTGATTGGCTCAGAGTTGAGTGATTCAAGATGTGCAGGAGACCATATTGTTTTCCAAACGATTTGTAAAAGTGTTGTTTCACGATTAAATGTTGCTTCATTTAAACAGTTTTGTCCTTCATTAATATTCATATTTTCAATTATCTGGACTATTTTGTCTAGTCCCAATGAGTACGGATAATCAAGGTTCAACTGTAAGATCAATTTTTTCACTCACAGACATAGATGTAGGGATTTTAGCTCGTAAACATTTAGCAATCTTTCTTGGACAATTCTTACCAAGGCAGAAAACCGCTATGCAGTTAACCCTATGTGAAACACCAAACCGTGAGACAAGACCAGACCACCACACCAGGAACCGCAAGTCCTACTCTTTGCAACAAGTGTGTGGGTTCGTTAATGGAGACAGGGCATACAGTTAACAGTCCTTATCCAAGAAGGCTTGAACTTCCATCCATTTGCAGATGTAATAACAAAGGCAGTATATTCTTTTCTCAGTTATTTTCAGGCCCTGTTAGTGTTGATCCAATCTTGGGCTCAAACCATCAACCTCCCACACAGCAGTCTGGCACTCTACAATTACCAATTAAGCTAAACAGGCCGCAGTTCTCAATAATTACCAAATGCCAATTTGATAAAGGAAACGAGCAGCACTAAATGCTTGCATGATGCATAGTAACCCCAGTTAATGGATATTATAGCTTTCACTGTCAGTGTTGGTTAAGTGTAGATTCAAGTCTAGTGGCTGCCCTTAGACCAATGCACACCCTCACTGAGAACTTTCCAATCCACATAGAATAATCAAGTGGTCAGGAGAATTTCAATCTATTCCCCCTGGAAGAGATGTTAGTCCATCGCAGGGTTATTATCCCCAGCATAAACTTTGCCAGTATTGTTTGAGCAACTGGGTGGAGAGAGACACTGTGCTCCAGTGTCTTGCTCTTGACAGAACACAACATATTTTTATGTCAGACCCTGGTAAGGGCTTGAATTCAGAAGACTTGATTCAGAGTCCAGGGGGTTTTCAACAGCCAAAATTTTTAACTCTGTAGGAAAGCATTAATCATTTTAAGGAAGAGCTCTAATAAAAACTAAGGTTATGGTAGAGGTGATTGAAGACAGCATACAGTACCTTGAATACAAGCTTCATGTAGGGGTGTTCTCTTCTGATTACTGGTTGCATGCGGGTCTGCCCCGCGGAGAAGAAGTTCCAATATTATGTCGTCATATCCTCTGTAGGCAGCCTCGTGTAGAGGAGTGTGCTTGCCAGCATTGACACTGTTCACATTAGCCCCAGCCCTGATAAGTAATTTGACGCAATCCAGATGTCCCTGCCGAACAGCAATGTGAAGAGGTGACCAGGGAGCACCACCGGAATCTAATAAATACGTTAAGAAGTCCAGTTAATTGTTGCCTTTGTTTTCTTCCACTTCATTTCATCATTAAAAGTTCTAAAGGCACCTCAAATATTTTCTTTTTTACTTTTTTTTAAGTCACACAGGGCTTCTGAAACTTCGCACAGACCTGGAGCTGTAAAATCCCACCAAATTCACAAAAACACGCAATACCACAAAATTTGCTAGAAATCTTACCAAAGACAGGTCTCTTGGCTGTTGGGGCTGTTTACTTGCTGTAAAATTGCAAATTCGATCAGTTTTGCACTGATTTGCTGAACGTCTTTAACTAATTAAAATAGATGTAATGGCAATTTTGCCAATTTTTGTCGGAAAATGATGCCTGTTAGCCTATGTAATAAAGCAGCATCAGAAACACTGACTACTTATAAGTGTCACCTCTGTAAAACCAGTGATTTTGCAGAAAAATTTGAGCAACTTGTTTGCACTATCGTAGGTGTTTGTATTTGTTTGACATGAGGTTCTTTTTAACAGAGGTCATCATCAATTTTGCTCTTTTAACAAATTAAAATTCGCTCAAGAAAATTATGTGCCAATGGCAAGGCTTTTAACATTGTGGCCACAGTGAGTGCCCAGTTTTTCGCAACATTAATCTAAGAACGCCTGGTAGTTTTGAGATGATATGTTGTTCCCTCATTGCAGTGACAAAGTTTCATGATAAATTTGCAAGTTTATGGCAAGTACAGTGTAAACAGCNCTGTTATTGGAATTGTATTGTGTTATAGTCATCAAGCATGTTGTCTTCTTTACTATTTGTGAGAAAATAAAAATGGCATTCCTATTTACCAGTTTACCTTTGAATTTTTACACTTTTGTTTCCGTATGTGGTTGTGCTTTCAGATTTGAACAAAAATATTGGCAGATCGACGGATTTGGTGAAAAAAGGGCACGGATCTGCGGATTTTCAAACCCCAATTCACACCCCTCATATATAGAAACAACTCTGCAGCAATTGTAGTTCAATTGTAGCAAATGTTGCAAATTACAATTCATGATCAATCACTGAGATAGACTTCAGTCATAACGATCAAAGTGATCATTGTGGTCATATGAAAACCGCTCTCCAGAGATGAACCATTTGCCAGAATGCAGTGTGTTGTTTGATAGAGGCCCTCTCTCAACTGGTGTTTTTTAATTCTGATGAAATCATGGCAATCATATGGAATTATGGAAACTGGCAGTTGCAATAATTGCTCAACTTGTTTAGGAAAGATTGATTATTAGACAATGATCATTAACAAAGGCATATTTAGAAAAAAAAAATAGCAAAATGGCAAATTGGTACAGACTACAGTTAGCCTGAATAGTGCTCAGGTTAGCTTAAATATCACAGACTTGACAGTGGTTAATTCTAGACAACTATACTTTACATTCAAGACTCTTATTAGTAGTGCCATTTCACCATTTTGCCATTTTGTGTTTAAATACACCCTCATAACAATGATCATAATAAATTATTATGGAAATCAGCCTTAAGAGAATAAATTATCCCACCCAAGAGCACAACATGACTAAATAATAATTATAATTATAATAATAATAATAATTAAAATTTATAGTAAGAGCACAATTTTCCATGACGTACATGATCAATAATGTATCCTGACCTACACGATACCAAATGCATACATGTAGGAGTACTCACACTGAACTGGATTATTTACTGGTGCCGCTGAATCTATTAACACTTGAACCAGCTCCGTATAACCTGCTTTACACGCTTCATGCAGAGCATGCCAATTTCCTTGTGAAGTCACAGATGCCCCTGCCTGGAGCAAAACCTTTACAACTTCAACATATCTTCCTTTAGTTGCCCACATTAGTGGTGATCGTCCAAATCTATCCACATCGTCTAAAGGGGAACCAGCTTCTATGAGAATTTTTACGACATCAGCATGGCCACTTGACGCAGCTACATGGATGGGGAGCTTTCTGCGTGGTTCTAAAATAATGCAACATAATATTAAATTAAGTTTACGTGACGATATTTAACTAAATTATGAGCTTGAGATTTGGGTGTTTTCACAATTTATAACATAACATAACATAACATAACACAACAAATAATGTTTTATTCAAGATATAATTATAACAAAAACAAAATTCATCTTGAAATGGTAGAAACAGAGGTTGGCCCTATGACATTTCACCTTAAAAAAAAGGATTAGAATTAAAAATATCTATTTATCTATTTATCTATATACAATAAAATATTCATTAAAATAGCTACAAGACTAAGTTAAAAAGACGCTGTAACTCAGTGACTAACAGAATTGTGACATCCCAATGCTATCATTCTAGTGGTCAGGGTAAATTAAATCCTTAATATCAAACATTTAATATTCTTATTGGGTGGAGGGTTGCTTGCCTCAAAGGTAGGGTGGCCACTGAGTTGAGCCAACTTAAAACCCAAATTAATAAAAACACTTTTGTTGGTTTGCTTTGCTTTGCCTCCATGAAGATGTAACGAACATGCCTGACACCAAGAGGGCCACAGTTTCGTTTTGTC